TGATCTCTATTGATTCGTATTGATTCCTACTGGTTCCCATTGATTCCCAGTGATTCCTATTGATTTCTATTGATTCCCATCGAGTCCTACTGAATCCCATCAATTCCTATTGATTCCCAGTGGTTCCTCATGACTTCTGTTGATTCTTGTTGATTCCCATGAATTCCCATGTATTCCCATGGATTCCTGTATTGATTACTCGTGATTCGTATTGAGTCTTATGGATTCCATCGATTCCTAGTGATTCCTATTGGTTCCTATATATATACCCATTGATTCCTATGGATCCCTATGCATTTCCATTGACTCCCATGCATTCCCATTGATATCTGATGTTACCTAGCACCACACATTGAATTATAATATTGCCTTGCACCACCCATTGATTCCTATTGATTTGTATAAGTAGTAGTAGTAGTAGTAGTAGTAGTAGCAGCCCAGTGGCATGAATACTAGTACAGAGGTGTGTTCGGGAGCCTGGCCAGTGCCTTGTCCCATGTAAGGATAATATGTGATCAGGGCAGGTAAGTGCATCTGTTTTTTTTTTAAATTGGAACGGCGAGAATTTCTTTTTCGTGGGGGCAAGAACAAGTAGACGGGGTGGTCAGGTAGGCCCGTACCCCAGGGGGTGGAGGCCCGGGGCGGTGTAGTAGGGACTGTTCCTTCTTCTTCTTCTTCTTCCTCCTATTTTTATTCTTATTATTTTCTTCTCCTCCTCCACGTCGTTCCTCCTCGGACTCGCCATCCTCCATCTCTTCCTTCTCATCCTCGTGCTTGTTTTCCTACTCGTTGTCCTCCTGCTCCCATCGCTGCCCTCCCCGTCATCCACGCTGCGATCCTCGGCATTTTCGCCGCCTTGTCGTCGTCATCATATCCTCACGAGCCCGATGAACAACATCGGCGCCTTCCGTTCTTGTCCGATCAGGTCTGACTCGTTGTTTTCTGACCGCTGCCGAAGGTCTGCAAAGTGCTCGTGGACCACCAGCACAGACAAGACGGAGTGTGAGGCCGTTCAGCACTTAGCTGAGCGTCTGCCGCTCCCTGGGGACGCGTATGTTCATACGCGTGTGCATTCGTGCCCAGCTTCTACTCTTCTGTGCTTTCCGCTGTCGTGGTGCAGACGCGGGCCGGGCGCGCGACCTCTCACCCCCGCGCGCAGACGCTTTCACCTGGGCGTGCATGCCTGCAGTCCTGGTCTCGGACGGGAGACTTGAACACTTGCCAAGAGCCTCCGAGTCCTGTTGGGGACCCTCCTGGGGCCTGGGGAGAATCGGGCCGGGCGACAAGGGGGGATGGGGTTACGAAATTTGCTGCATGCAGCTGGTTTCGGCCTCACCGAGGGGCCCATTCCTCGATACATGGCCGCCTCCGGCGCCGGGAGGCGCCGGGAAAATCAGCTAAGTGAGCTCTGATTTTCAACCCCCCCCTTTGCTATCCCCCCCTTTCGCCCGACCCGAGAGAAGTTGCCGTGTGGCATCTTGGAGTCCTGTCAGTTCGCAGGGCCCACGGCGCGCAGCGTCTCTCCGGGGTCGGCGAGAGGTGCGAGGAGCTTCGGCGAGGCCAGACAGACAGGTTTCCCTTCGATCGAATGTCAGTTCGGCCAGCAGAATGCAACCAAGGATTGCACCCTCCCCCCCCCCATTTTTTTTCTTTTTTTTTTTTCTTAAGACACACATGCCATCAGAGCAGAACCCGTGAAACCAAACAGCGAAGCAGAGAGCTCTCCATATCTTCATCAGCACTGAAAGAGACAACGGAGCAAACAGAGAGCCTTTGAAACATGCGACACATGCGCCCAATACAACAGCTCCTATATGTAGATTGCCCGAGACTTTCTGTTTCACTTGTTGCCTATTTTTTTCCACGGGGATGTCGCCTCTTATCGTTGTTTTGGTTCCGCTGTGTTGCGCTTAGGGAGGACAGTTTCTTTGTCTTTGTTTCTCGTCTGTGTTGTTCGTCGTGGTCGTTTTTCCCGCCCTGCATGACGCATCACATTCCATGATTTCACTGAATCACGCCATCATGGATGATTGTCCTGCGCGCAGCGGGCAACATGATGGCACCCCAACCGTTCCTGTCAACACCAATGCCACGTATTTGCGGAGCACCTGGACATTCTTAAGAATTTGTCGCAGAGTGCATATTCAAATATTTTTGACAGGGGTGATGTGAGGTTTGGGGTTTGCATTGTTCCTCGCCAGTCGAGTGGGGGATTGATTTTGGTAAATAAGGAGCAGTGCTTACCCCTCCCCAAGGGGAAGAAAGGTGTTGGAGTAACGAACCCACCAAACCACCTGCAGCCAGAGTGCTGGCGGGATTGCACTCACCCAGCTGCAAAGACACTCGTTTCTTCCGGTCGCCCCGTAAAGTCGTAGACAAACAACGACGGTCATGCTTTCATGTCTCAGGTGTTTATGTGCACTGCACGAGCGCCGACGGCCTGTTCATATCGCATGGCATGGTATGGCACGGCATGGAACTCTCTTCGTACACACCGCTTCGACCGAGAGGTTTGCGCGATCCCAGTCCAGGAAGAGGAATATGGGAGGAGGATGACGAGGAGGAGGAGCAGCAGCAGCAGCACGAGGGTGAGGCCGCCCGACCGCTTGTTTTCCTATTTGAATTAGGGCGCGTTTATGAGTCTTTGGGCATGTACTTTTCATTAGTGAGGCGCTTGGTACGACCAGACCCCTTGCCCTCAAGTGGACAAGAGGGTCGGCCTCGACCGCAGTTGTGACTCGGAGACCCGCAGTTGTGACTTGCGAAGACTGGGAGAGCATTGCTTACATTTGCTTGCCCCCATGTCTGCGCGAAGTTTATTAAGCGAGGTAGGTGCCCTGTACATACGGTGGACCGTTTCACGACGCGCAGTGCCAGCAATTGGTTGCGCGTGTGTCAGAGAAGCTGATTTCAAACCATTGATTTCGCGTGCCTGTTCGGGAGAATGTTCGATGAGGCTGTGCGCGAAGTCCCGCAGCGGAGATCCTCTCTACCCATCGTCCTCCTGGGGTCCACTTGTACCAGTCGGCGGCGAGCGAGGGGGGAAGTGAGAAGGAGAATGCCTTCTCTGAAGGCGGCGGGACTTCTCAGCTTGCCCTCCCGTCTTTGAGAAGTTCTTGATGCTATCGGGGCAGGCTCAGAGAACCTCTCGGAAGGCCGGGGGACTTCCGAGCCTTCTGAGAGAGCCCGCCCCTTCTCATTCCTCCCCCGGGCTCGCCGCCGAACCAGCGCCGAGTTCGGAGGCCACATGCGAACCCCACCCCACCACCCCACGACTTCTAAGGGGGGAGGTGGGGTCCACTTCTCGCTCGGGACCTCCCGGGCGCAGTGAACCCCCACCTCCCCCACTAGAAATCGTGGGGTGGCGGGGCAGGGTTCGCACGTGGCCTCCTACGAGTGCGCAGGGCGGGGTGGACGGACCGCGGGGAGAGCCTCCGCAGGCCCTGCAGGCGACCGCGCGCGGGCGGGGGGAGGCTCCTCACAGGGCGGGGGGCCCATACCCCCGCCGCCGCACTCTTGTGTGTGGCGCGGGCCCCGGAGCCCTCGACCTCGCCCCAGGGACTGCCGCTATCCGCCCCGCGATCCCTCCTCCTCCTCCTCCTCCTCCTCCTCCTCCTCGTCCTCTCTCTCCTCCTCGTCCTCTCTCTCCTCCTCGTCCTCCTCGTTCTCCTCCCCCTCCTCCTCCTCCTTCTCCTCCTCTTCCTCCTCTTCCTCCTCCTCCTCCTCCTCCTCATCGTCCTTCCCCCTCCTGCCTATCCAGAGTCTACGATTGGGCGGGCCATGTGGCAAGATTTGGCAAGCATCAAGCGGACAGACTGGCATGGAAAGCTTTACATAGGAGAGATGTTAATTGCCTCGCCTTCCTGGAGACGAACTACGGGCAGCAGTGCCATGGGAGGAAGTTTCGGGTCTGGCGGTGGGAGATGCAATTCACACGATTCCTGGGGAAATATTCGACGGAGAAGACGACAGACCCCGAACTATGGCAAGATATGAAAGGGCTGTGGCTGAGTAGGAGGTTGATGGGCACTTGTGGGCGATCTGAGCTCTGGCACACATTTTTGCACAGCGGCCGCGTAGCTCGCAACCCTGTCTCGTATGATCAACGTGGTTTCCCCCGTTTCTGCATGGGCATCGTCCTGACGGTTCGCCGAGGCAGCGTCGACTCGACTCCTCCTCCTCCGCCTCCTCCTCACCTTCTCCCCCTCTCCTGGAGACCTCCCAGCTTCTGCGGAGAGCGAGTGGGGGGAAGCAAGGAGGAGAAGGCCCTCTCGGAAGGCGGCGGGACTTCTCAGCTTGCCCTCGAGCCTTCTGAGAGGGTCTCCTGCGTCTCCTGGGAAGGCTCAGAGAAGCTCTCGGAAGGCCGTGGGACTTCCGAGCCTTCCGACAAGGCTTTCTCCTTGTCGCTTCCCCCCTGGGCTCGCTGCTGACTCTCAGGTGTTCAATCGTGCACCCCCTTGCTGTGCCGCGCCGAAGATCATTGTCGCCGTCGCCGTCACGTCCTGTCGCCGCCGCCCCGTTGCACAGCATATATTCTCCTGTCTAAAGAGAGAACAGATTCTACCCCTCCCGGCGTTATCCCTCCCCTTTTCGGGTGTGTAAATCATGGACGATTCTGGCCACACGTTCATCTTAAATCTGAATTTACACTATCTCAGGGGGGCCGGTATCGCTACCCCTGAGGTTCCCTTGCACAAAAAACAATATGCGGGGACATTTTTTGTTCTAGCGTAAGACTTTTTCCGCGAATCCCTTGCAAACAATGGGGCGAAGTGCACACGCACGCGTCGCCGCGCGTGCATGCCGAAATCCTTCAAAAACCTCAAGTATCGGAAGGATTTCGCAATTGAGTTTCCAAAAAACATACAAGAACACCGGATTTCGCAACACTGATTTGCTAAAAAAACTTACGCGCGAGCTCTTGCGAAATCTCAAGAAAACCATAGGTTTTTCAAGCTGTTCACAAAATGCTACCAAATGGGCTTCGCGCGCGCATGTCGAAATCTGTCGAACGCCCTTGCGCGTGTGCCGTCGCGAGAATCCTCTGCAACAAATGGCACGAAGTGCAGACGCGCGCGTCGTCGCGCGCGTATGCCGAAATCCTTCAAAACCCATCGGTTTCGGAAGGATTTTAAAATCGTGTGTCCAAAAAACCTACGGCTTCGCAACACGGATTTTCAACGAAAGCGTGTGCGCGCGCTCTTGCGTCGTCGTCGTCGCCGCCGTCGTCGCCGTCCTCCCTCCTCCCGCGTTGCGTCTTCATCGTCGTCGCCTACGTCGTCGTGTGTCTTTCCTCGTGTTCGTCGTCGTCGTCCTCTTTGGCGTCGTGGTCGTTTCCGTCGTCGTTGTCGCCGTGGTCGTCCTTCCTCCTCCTCCCTCGTCGTCGTCGTCGTCCGTCGTCGGCGTCTCGTCGTCTTCCCCCCTATTTCGTCGCCGTCGTCGTCGTCGTCGTTGTCGTCGTCGTCTTCCCTCCTCCCTCGTCGTTGTCGTCGTCGGAGTCGCCGTCCTTCCTCCTTCGTCGTTCGCGTCGTCGCCGTCCTCCCTCCTCCCTCGTCGTTGTCGTCGTTGTCGTCGTTGTCGCCGTCGTCGTCCTCCCTCCTCCCTCGTCGTCGTCTTCGTCGGCGACGTCGTCGTCGTCGTCTTCGTCGTCGGCGTCGGAGTCGTCGTCGTCTTCGTCGTCGTCAACGTCGGCGTCGTCGTCGTCGCCGCCGTCGTCGGCGTCGTCGTCGTCGGTGTCGTCATCGTCGTCGTCGTTGTCATCGTCGTCGTCGTCGTCGGCGTCGGCGTCGTCGTCGTCGGTGTCGTCGTCGTCGTCGTCGTCGTTGTCGGTGTCGTCGAAGTCGTTGGAGACGTCGTCGGTGTCGTCGTGGTCGTTGTCGGCGGCGTCGTCGTCGTCGTCGTCGTCGTCGTCGCTGTCGTCGTCGGCGTCGCTGTCGTTGCTAAGTGCCATTTGGTACCCACCGTCACGGTCTCCAGAGATTTTGCAAACCAAGTTGCGGGATTGCACCACATAGGTGGCACCATATAGATGGCACCACAGATATTGCACTACATCGATTGCACCTCATCGATTGCGCAAAACAGATGACAATACATAGATTGCACAATGTGGAGTAGACAACACAGATGGCACCACATAGGTTGCGCCACATCTATTACCCACATACGTTACGCCATATGTGTATATATACACATACATTATATATATATATATATATTGCGCACCATCTTTTGCGCAACATCTATGATCATAATCACACTGCCTGCGGTCCACGCTGGCGAACATCTGTGTAGCATGTACAATCCGTTCGTGAACCTTGCCACTCCCGCTGCTTCTGACCACCGTCGTGGCAGGCCTGTTCGGCTTTGCGCCCGGTCAACTTCGTGCTCGCGCCGTTGGTTAACACCCGTCTTTCGGCCCTGCGCCCGTCCCCCCCCGCATGGAACCACGCGCGGGCAGGGTGGAACGCAGGCTGGTTTTTCGGTTCTCCAGCTTCCCCTGCAATCTGTACGGTTTGATTTCGGTGCACCGGCTGTGGCTGCGCTCTTTTTGCGGCGGCTCGTCGGAGCAGCCGCGCGAAGAGCCCACCTCTAGGTGGGGATTCCTAGTGGCCGCCGCGGTGTCGACCAGGTTGCTGGAGTTCTGCGGCGCCACCATCCTCGACCCTGATCACTCGTTCTTCATCGGGGCCGCCCACCACAGCAACAGAACTTCTGCTTCATATTTCGCTTTATTTTTGATTCGTGATCGTGGGACAACGCGGCATCACCTCCTCCTGGGACGCCTCGGGGCTTCCTTGAATCGGATTCCGACTATACCGCCAGTGTGGTACAGCGGTGGGCTCGGTTCAGGTGCAACATCAGGCTGGCCCTGAAGGCGCTCCACATCTTTGATGAAGTTGCCCAGGAGGCGATTTGACATAAGCTGGAGTCTCATGCTGCACAGTTCTTGAACGACCGTGCTGATCATCTAGCCAGTCGTGGGGCCAATGGAATCATGTGCGACCCAGCGTCGGCACGTCGCTGGGCGAGCCTTTGGGCCAACTTTTGGAGCTGAGGACTGGCAGCCCCAGCTCCTTTTCATGCTTTGCAGTCGTGAGCTACAATTCTCGAGAAATCACCCACCCACCTATCCGCAGCTTGTCGGCAAAGCTTACCTGGCGTAATGGCGCGAATGCCCTTCTCATGCAGATGCTGCTGATGATGATGCTGATGATGATGATGATGATGACGATGACGACGACGACGACGATGATGATGATGATGATGATGATGATGATGATGATGAGGATGAGGATGAGGATGATGATGATGATGATGATGATGATGATGATGGTGTCGGCGGTACCAGTGACGACGGCAACGACGATAACGATGACCATGATGGTGTTGCTGACGCCGGTGGGGACGATGACGCCGACGATGTTCGTGATGATGGCTCTGATGGTGCCGATGACAGTGGCCATGATGAAGTTGACGATGGGGATGAAGACGGTGCTG